GCTACTGGCCCTTACACCTGTTTCTACTCTGTACTTCTCTAAGTTGTCATGCTGTTAGCTTTGGCTCTTGTAACTCTGGCTAGGGTTCTCTCTTTGCTTTTGGAGCCTGGGTATTTCTAAGCTATATATTATTTTTTTGGTTGTATTTTGTCTACCATTTCTTTGTGTTTGGAGCAGGAAAAATTCACTTTGTCATGTTCCTAGAAGTAGATCCACAGCATTTATTTTCTCTCACTCGTGTCTGTCATCCTTTTTTCTGTAATTAACGGGCTGAAGGAATACATGCACACATTCACAAATATGAGACAAGTTTTAAAGAAATATCTTATAACTAAAATTATGGCATTTCCTACAAAACAGTCCCCTCTTTCTTCTGCTTGAAAAGATTATTGATCTTCCGTAATAGTTATTTTACGTATTTTCAGTATATTCTCTTCCTTTTTCTCTTCTCTGCCTTACTTATTTTCCTTTTTTTTTTTTTTTTTCATCTACCTCTAAATCAAAGAAAAATCTGTGTTGAGAATCCAGGTCAACTAATGTTAGTGCTTTTTTCAAAAGGGCAATAAATAAAATTACAAGGCTTTTACACATTATAGTGAATATAAATTCTTTTTAGTAAAACAGAAAAAAATGACCAAAGTATGATTTGTGGATACAAGTGCAGATTCTTGGTTCAGGGTATTTTTAAAGTCATTGAAGAGCCTTTATCCAATGACATTCACTGCTATTTGATTTTATGTCTTTGTTTCACTTGTGCTGCCCTCTAACTTGGATCTTCCCTTTCTTTCTTTTATACTCCTCTATTTGCAGTGCAGGTGTTTCATTAAAACTGTATCTGGTATTGGCACGCCACAGATGAACTTTGATATTTCATACGTTTCACCTAGACCTTCTGCTGTGCATTTTTGCAAGTTAAAATATGGAGGCAATATTAATACACAGTAAATAACCTGGAAATGTGCAAATCATAGTTAAATCTTAGATCCCTTAAAGAGGTTTGTAGCTTTCAGAGAGACTCTTCTTTGGGCATGATATATTTACTTGGAACTTTGACCAGAGGTCAGAATTTTGGGAAAGTATTGGGAAAATTGTTTCAACTGTTTTTGAGTTTCTTGAGTGATAAAAATAATAGTAATTTTATTATTACTGA